GAGAGAGAGAGAGAGAGAGAGAGAGAGAGAGAGAGAGAGAGAGAGAGAGAGAGAGAGAGAGAGAGAGAGAGAGAGAGAGATCAAAGGATTTGATGTTGTATGCTAGCTGTTAAACTCAGTGCTTTTCTTCCATGAGCCAAGCGTTGTATTGCACCGATCTGATTGGCTAACCGGTTGCACTGTTTCTTCTTGCTATGCAAGGTAGCTTGCTTTGGCAGTAACTGTCTGTTTCTGTGGAGGAGCACGCGTCAGAGTGTCGAGTACATATCTCTGTCACTTGGCTTGTTACAGTACATGTGGCCCGGGGCTCTGGATGTTTCTGCGGCTTTTTTACAACAGTTGATTAGGCAGTGTATCAAAAAATCTTCCTGTTCTTGATCTGAGCAGACTGCACAGACCCCTCAGAGCTGGTTGGATCGTTCTTCCTTCTTCTACTCCCTCTTCTTTTTTTTGTTTTAAACCACCTGTGATAGCAGATAGGAGTGATGGTAAGAGCAAGCACTCCTACCTGTCTCTCAGGGGCCTCCAGTCAATTGGTGGGGAGCTGCACCTGCTAGAGAGCGGGTGCAGCGTCCCTTGAAATACATTTGTCAGTCAAGGAAAAAAAAATTAAAAAAATCAGATGCTTGCAACTGCTCCCAACGTCCACCTGGACATAGCTGATAGTGCGCCCCTGATCCGACTGATAATCTAATGACGAAGATGAGGGTAATCGTTCTTTCTTCTACTAACTCAAACCACTGGTTAACCGGTAGAGCAAACGTATGTTACGACTCTTACGAGTCTTATGACCCACTGCATGTTTCTTATTTTTATTGGTCTTATCGTTTTCATATGTCTTCCATGGAATTTTTGCTATCTGGTCTGCGTCCGAACCAATTAACTTGCTCCATCTTCCTTTGATTGTTGGGTCTGGATCCTTTGTTTTTAACAGCATCTTGTAATCTACCGTCTTCGCCCGAATGTAACACCCTGTCATTATTATAGCTGTATTCAGGGCACTTCTCAGTCCAGGTGCAGCGATAATGACCGGGTGTTCTATTCGGGTGAAGACGGTAGTTTAACTGTATAATTAGATATTGGGATTGGTGGTTTGGCAGTTCTATTTCCGTCGGAGGGCCAGACCCATTCTGATGGGTCGAACACGAGATCTTGAATTGCTGTCCCTTTTTGACATATCTGTTTTGGCCAGAGTCCTAATGCTCTCTTATTTTACGGAGCGTGGAAGCATTCAGCACTACTGTTTCAGGATTGATATTGTGAGTATTCAGAAGTATTCAGAATCGGGAAGGAGGTGAAGACGTCTTGTGGGCCTAATCCCAATTCGTATATATGATTCTTAATTTCTTACGCATTGGAACTGTTCCTGTCCTCGTTGGGGCTTTTTTGACACCACGGTGCTCAAATCATTGCTTCTAGAAGCCAGGACTGTATTATGTAGCGGCAGAGTGGTTACGTCGCAGACTTTGGGGGTTATCCCTCTTTTTCCAGCCTTCAGTATGTCATAGTGAAAGACGGTTTGAAATTCTTTTTAGTGAGCTTTTTACACTTCATGTCTTTGGGTCTTTGTTGTGTACAATTTTGCACCAAGAGAGAGGTGCAATTCTGTTCCCCCCCCCCCCCCCCCCCC